CATTACTAAAACCATTAGAAAATTGAATTTATGCTCTTCTAACCCATACCAATCACTATATAACGTTAAAGATGACGTGTTGGTGAATTCTGCGAGTGTCTTTATTTTATATCTAACCAGATTAATTTCTTCAAATACAGACCGAATATTAGATGAGTCGTGCATTTCGTAAGTGGACTCTTAGAAGTCCGTTACTTTAAAAAGAAATAAAGGAAACAAAAATCAATGTCTACCCAAAACAAATCAAACACTCCTTGAAATGCAGTGCCAACACAAATAAAGCAGGAAATGGGAAAAATTTTGTTTTCTATATCCATTGTATTTTGTCCTAGAGAGAGATTGTAATATTTTTCAATAAATAAGTTTTTAAAAAATACCCATTGTATTAAAAAAGAAACATTTTTAAATAATAAATTAAGAAATTCCTTACTTTTAGTACGCAGTTCCGAAAATATCTGATTATTTCAGCAGCAATTAAAAATTATTTAACTTAAATTGAATCATATTTGGAAATAATTAAATGCAAAGGCTCAGTTTTGAACAAAAAAAAAATGTTAATTGTGGTCTGTTTTGGAGAAAATACTATGGAATGTGCTTTAGACCACACGATAGAAGTGAAAACAAAACATCAACAAGACGAAACTAATAATATGGAATAAAAATTATAAATAATAGCTCATTACTAAGATGATGAAATGCTGAACATGACCCTCGTTTACAGTATACAGATCCGATTTTTTGTCTCTGAAATATTTTAATCCATATGTTCAACTAAATTTATCATCATTTGGTTTTCGAAACTATTTTTCCTATTCGTCTTCCTAACACTGTGTCGTGTTAAGATATAATTTTGTATTATAATTTATTACAAAGAGGATGGAATGCTGAACAATTTCCTTGGCACCAGTATGCAGGTCTGATTTTTAGTTCCTGATATATTTTAATCCACATGTAGAAGCACTTCAATTAGTCGACTCTAGCCGACATTATCCGAGCGTTAACATTTCGGAAATCTGACGGATCAATCTAATTCACTCTCCACAGAAAAAGTGCAAAATGCGCCTAAAGAAAATTTCACGTAAAAATCTCAGAAACTAAAAATCGGACCTGCATACTGTGAGGGAAGTAAATTTTAAGCATTTCATTATCTCTGTAATAAGGTATTAATATTTTTTTTTTATCCTTGTGAAGCTATGAGAGTGAAGTTATGCGGTGTTAGAATTAATAAGACGATATACTCTGTAGGCTCAGAAATCCACGAGTGGAAAATTTAATTAAGGTAAGCCGCCAATCAACGAGACACCGGTTTTGAGTGATGTGACTCAATATATCTTGAGCTATTGTTTAGAGTTAGTAAAATGAAGCGATTACTCATACCAGGTTATTTAAAAACAGTTACTCTGCTGTGGTGACCGGACTGCTTCGCTGGTTATTTAAGGTACATCGGCATAAGAAATTGGATGACAGCATCGCAGAATAGGGACACGTGACGATTACTGTTGGAGAAAGGGAAGACTCGCTTGCGGCTTGTTGAGCTGAATTAATTAAGTAATTGCTTGCTTTTCCCGAAAACAAGCAATTACTCAAAAATGGAAGAGGGTAACAACAATTATTTTATGTTTTCTGAGAAATTCCTAGATAGAATTAAATCAGCTTGGGATTAAACTCCATTTTCATAGTTGGTAACAATAATGGATTATTTGTTCTAGATAAAATGTTATTAAAGATATTAAAACCACTAGTACCAAACTCCTTAAAAAGGTGCGAATTTAAAAAAAATAAACTTGATCTCTAAACCCCAGAGACCTGCATACACATTTACAAAAACACTAACAAGTGCGCACTAAATCCAATCTCAAACTTTTCTATGAATATATTTCTTTTGGAAACAAAGAGATATAAAACGTTTCCAATAGAATTTTTTTTTTCAATATTGTTTTATTAGATGTTATACTTTAAAAAAAACTTTTAAGCGACTGTGAAACAGTTATTCTTTAGTACATTCATTATATTTACCATAATGGGCATCAAAAACGGTTTTAGTTCTTTTTTACTTTCAAAGTGAATCCCTCAGACTGTTGGTGCTTCATCCAACTGCATCTGGTTCACAAACCAACATCGACCTTCCAAAAACCGTTTGAGTAGAATTTAGATTATAATTTTTAAATGATAAGGGTATGTCAATTAAGAATCAGTTGAAATACTGTACATTTATTTAAAATTTTAGTTTAAACATTTCTCTAAAAACATATACATATATATATTAAAAACATAATTAATAAAATTAAAATGAAAGAGAAAAAAAGAATCGTTATTCTCTTTTCCGTTCGGATTTTTAATTTTTTAAAGATATACCGTCAATGACCCTCTATTGTAGAGGGGATTACATTTTTTTTTTTAAATTAAATATTTTTACAAATTGAAAATATTACAATCTATCTCAAAGGTCATTTATAATAGTGTTCAGATATCACATTAGCATCCTATGTACGATAAAAAAATTATACAGACAAATTATATATATGTATATATATATATATATATATATATATATATATATATATATATATATATATATATATATATATATATATACATATATATATATATATATATAATATATATATATATATATATATAATATATATATATATACAATAAATAAGTATAAAATAATCTAAAAATAAATAAATAAAAAATAACGCATACATATCTCATTACAAAACCTCATTACAAATATATATATATATATATATATATATATATATATATATATATATATAATATATATATACATATATATAAATATTTATAAGATTTTAGATGAAGATGTGTTACTTCGGACTCGATGGATTAATGAACGTTTGGCAAATATTTAGGTTAAATTGTTATTCAAGCTCAAGCTGGATATTATAATATCCATATCATGGATATTATAATATTTCACATATTATTTGGACGATAATTGAAATATTTGTGAAAATGGACTGATTCCTGCATTTTCAAATAAATATTTATATTTATAATTCGTCGTACGACTATTTCTATATAATTTATGCATCGTTTTGTTTATTTATTGAATAACAATACAGTCTCCAAAACTTGAGGGCAACATTTATTAGTGTTAAAGGTATCCCTATATTAATCTAAAATATAAATTCAGAAAAAGAAAAATAATTCTAATAGAAATTTACCTTTTACGCATCTAGAGTCCTTAATTTGGTGACCTGGAGATAGTTTAGAATGGTGAAAATGTCTCTGCAGAACTTTAGGACATTCTTTATTATTGTTTGATTTAATGGAGACAGTATTGGTTTACTCACCATCCGCGGAAAAAACTCTGTTTATTAAATTATTAGCATCCGTGTAAAACTTTGTAAATGGCTTCATCATATTCTCAACCGTGAAACTCATTTATGGAAATTCTGGGAAATTATTTAATTATTTTAATTAATTAATTAATTATTTATTTATTTATTTTATTAAAACTAATTTTTACCGCAGAATATTAAGTTTACAATAACACACTTATACACTTGACGACAGAAGGCTTAGTTATTTTTTTATTAAGATAATTAGGTGTCATCATAGCTGGTGTTGCCCAAAATCCATCTTAGTCAAATTTCCAAGACCATCTAACTGTTGCAAGACCCAAGACCAAGAAAAAAAATCGATTTTTTAAATAAAAATTAAGATAAAATAATTACTTGACAATTTTAGTTACTATATGTAAAGAATAGGTATGACCGATATACTTTTGCATTTAACTCTTCTGATTTTTCATTCGGGCTTAGTTAGGTTTCTCCTATATAAAAAAATACAGTTCATATGTGCTTGTTTTAGGTGAAAATTTTCTAATATTATAAAATAAGGCTGTTATTTCTTCACCATATATATTTCAATTTACATACGTACGTTCCTGCCGGTAAGCCATCTATAAGATAAAGACCATTAATTTTATATTTTGTAATTCTACACTCTATGAAGATGGTATTGATCCTATTTTATTTAATATTCTATGAATTATAACTCTAATTAGGTTAAATTAATTTTTTATTTGTAATTAACACTACCAATTAATTGAAATTATCTACCACACTAACTAACACTACTACTACTACTAACACTAAATGTAACTAACACTACCAGTAATATAAATTAACAGTACCAGTAGATAGAATGAAGTTCCTTTTTTATTCAAATCCAGAAATACCAATCGATTGTGATAAAAAAGCAACCTCATTCTATCTAATGGTACTATTAATTTACAAATTAACTGGTAGTGTTAATTACAAATTTAAAAAATTGACTTAACCTAATTAGAGTTATAATTCATAGGATATTAAATTAAATAGGAGCAATACCACCTCCATAGAGCGTAGAATTACATCAAAATAGTGTTTATCTTATAGATGGCTTACGAGCCGAAACGTAGCTATGTGAATTGAAATAAATATTGTGAAGAAATAAACACAGCCTTATTTTATAATAATAAAAAATACAGTGATATCTCTATAGTGATACTAGGTAATTGCAACTCTTGCGCAAGACCAATACTGAGTGCACAAGACCAAGACGAGTCTTGGTCTCGCATTTGGGCAACGCTTGTCATTGTAAATGAATCGAGAAGAGTCGATTAAAAATGAACGATATTTATGTTAGAAACTGCATATCCTAGGATGAGACAACATTTTATTATTTCATTCCTTCAACAAGTTGCGTTATCGTGACCTCGAATAAACGAGGACATCGCCTAGAAAATTCACTTATCGCGCATTTAATTAGCGTGTGAATTAGTTTTTAGTTTTAAGTCGTTTTCTTGTCCGCGAAGAGTGAGAACTGTTAACACTACTAGTTACTTCCTATCGGAGCTGTTATGCAAAGGAGACTCAAAGTGGCGAAGGATGTCACCTCGGCTAGATTACAGTTGCGCAAGCGGACGCAACTGCTCTAAGTAGGCGATGATAAGGACGGAAAGTAAAAGGTTTTTTTAGTTGCCGAAGAGATATTATAAAGAGCGGCTTCGGCTATTGTCGAGGATTCAGTCAACATGTTCCGCTGGGCAGGGAAGGTAGCGCTCGTCACTGGAGCCAGTTCTGGAATCGGGGCCTCCATCGTTAAGGACCTCGCGAAGCAGGGTGTGATCACCGTCGCAGTCGCTAGGAGACTCGACAGGATTCAGGTCAGTAAACCGCGTAAGAGGATGTATCAGCCAACTTCATAATATTTGTTATTTTTTTACGCATTAATATTTGATATCCTCACGTTCATTATTTTAAAAAGGCACAAAATATAGTAGTCTCACAGCATTATATATAATTATCTTGTGTTCTGTTACTAAACAACACGTACTATAAAAATAAAAAGATTAACTTAACATTAAACATAATTAGAAGTATTTGCAGGAAACTTGCTCCAACCACAGTTGAAAGTTTTATTAATTGCTCTGACATTGTAAATTTACACTGAATCAAAATATTATAGCTGCTTAGTTAATTATTGAAAATAGAGTAATTTTTTCTAATATAGAAACTAAATTACAAACACCATAATATTCAATTATGCTAAAGGAATTTCAGCAAATAATAGGTATTCCAAAAAAATAAATTCTGCATTATTTATGATTTTTATATATATCTATCTTTTATACAACGGTTATTTTATAATCTGACCCTGAACTATGATGTGTCTTTTTAACCAAATATGAACTCTTGTGATAATCAAATACGGTGGATATCATGAGTGAATGAATCTGAACCGATGGATTCAGAATTTGATGGGAGGTTAGCGTACACTTAGGTAAAAGACACCTTGTCAACTTTTCTTTAAATAATTTAATCGCTGACGAACAAATTCAATAGCTCAAATTTCTGAAAAATTGGCTCCCTGAAAAAATAAGAAAACGTGAAATAAGAAATACAAAAAAAAGTGTCCTATGACGTCGGTGTACAGATCAAATCAATTTTATTTTATTTTTTTTTATCCCTACCTTACTTGCATTTTATGCCATACATAATTTTCTAGGGCCAGATATTATTACCAAAGTTAAACCCCCTAAACCCTCCCCCCCACCCCTCTGAACTCGTTACGATATCAATCTAAATAAATGTAAAAAAAAATAATCATTAAAGTAGATAAGATGAAGTTTTCCATCATATCTTCCTTATAACATAATAAAGTTATTGATGTTGGTCACAAGAGCAATAATTCGAATTTACAGCAGTTGTACTAAGATTGAATTTGGAGAATATCCTAAATATCTAAAAACATTTTTTTTGTTATATTAGTTAAAAATATGTTTTTTTATTTTATTTTTATTTAACTTTTGAGTTGAAAATATGAGTTAAAAATGTTGAACATTACAAACTTTAAAATAGTTTAAAAGCAATCGCTGCTAATTTTTCTGATAAATATATCACACTTTTACTCACCACTTTTGATCATAAATAATTCGCCCTTGGCATAGATTACTTTTAAAGTGCTAGAAAGAAAAAATAAACTTTTTATCACTAAATTTTAGTACCGTAGAGTTCACAAGCATATTAAACTTTAAATAATTTATGGAAGGATTGCGCAATCAATCAACTCCTCTTATTTAATTTTCTTTTGACATAAAAAATTAATTTCGCTTAATATGTAATTATTTATTGAATATTTACTATTAATGAGACTTCTCTCTTGAAGGAAATCATAATTATTTGCATAATATTCAGTAAACCATCATTGTCAACACATGCAGTATACCGAATGATGAATGAAATGTTTTTGTTAAAGTAAATAAAATTATAAATGTATTAAAACAGTTATAAAAAAACGAATTAATTAGATATATTCGATTTAATAAGAAAATGTTGCTTATACAACTTGATGTTTTTCAGCATTTCTACCACCAACGCACGATAAAGAAATAGTGCCAATCTAGATTTATTAATCGCTCTTGCATTTAAAATGTTGTAACCCAAAAAAAAAAAAAAAATTATAAGATTAATATTTCTGCTCTTTTTAGCATATTGACTAAACTCATCACACGGATTTAGCCTCTAAAAAGATGTAACTGTTAATGATGGATAAACCATACTGAAACTATTGATTCTTTATGGTGTTATAGACATTTATACCGTATTTCTCTAAATAATTAAGGTATATAGATATATATTCTACTCCTGAGCAACGAAATGATTATTTTTTATCCAAAATAATGATCACTAATCCCATTAAAACCATCCCTAACTCCTGTTGATTGGCTTTATTCTGATAAATGCCGGCCTAATAGGAAAAATACTAAGCATTAACGTAACGGTTACCATACAATTAAATCATCATCCTCGAAAAAAATCTATTTACATTCATTGGTTTTTCTTCTCTTTTTTAATGTTATATTATAGCCCTGATAAAGTTTAATGTTTTGAATGTAAATATCTGAAAACATTATAAGTTCCACATTTTATTAAAAACACCTTGGTTTGTCCGAAAATAATGTTCTCCGAAGCGTCCTTATTATATACTTCCCAACACAAATTGAAATTCACTAGAAAGGTGTATACACATTTTTTTTTTTTTTTTTTTTGGAATTGATGAAAAGTTAGGAGTAAGGATGTCACAGCGGCAAAGGAAAATTAATTGACCAAAGGCTTTTTTATGCTGATACAGAAGGCCTTTTTATCATGACCTTCTGTCCTAGTCTTTTCCGGAACAGGTGAGAAAAACAGAAGAAAAGAAGATGGCCTCTCTGAACTTTTTAAAACTTTTTTTTCCTCACGAGAAATAAAAAAAAAATGTTTGAAATATCCCCTTTTAAATGCCACTTTTATTCCAAAATATTCAATTTGTGTCTATTTTATGACATATTTTTAAATAATTTGTTAAATTTTAAAGAGATAAGTTATTTCAAAGTGATAATTTATAAGGGGTTAGTGTAATTAAGAAAATGTTTGTATTACATTTAAAGCTTAACAATTTTCATTAAAAAAATCCTGATGTATAAGTGCGTTTCATGCTATACACATATAAATAAAATAAAATATTCTTTAAAACAGTTTATATGTAAAATCATTCAAAGCTATTATATTAAACTCGAACCATTGATAAATATGTCTAAAAATAAAATAAAAATGCAAATTTTACAGTAGTTTCACAGTATTATATATTATTATCTTGTGTTCTATCGTTAAATAACACGTACTATAAAATAAAAAGATTAAGTTAACAGGAAATACAAGTAGATTTGAATTTTAAGTATTTTGCAGGGAACTTGCTCCAACCACAGTTAAAAGTTTTATTTATTACTCTGACGTTGTAAATTTACACTAAATCAAAATACTATGGTTGCTTAGTTATTTTTTTTTAATAGAGTAATTTTTTCTATAAATAACGAAATTACAGACATCATAATATTCATTTATGCTAAAGGGATTTCAGCAAATAATAAGTATTCCAAAAAAATAAATTCCGCATTATTTATGATTTTTATATAAAACTATCTTGTATACAACGGTCGTTTTATAACCTGACCCTTACTTATAATCCGTAGTTGTAGAAGGATTCATCACAGACCTGAAGCCGACTTTTTACAAAATAGGTCTTCGGTGGAAAGGTCAAAGAGAGTATCTATGATTAGCCTGCAGCTGTACCTTTGAGGCTATTACTAGTATATAATGCACTCAGATGACCAGTTTTCACGTATGGCTTGAAGAACTGGACGAAAACGAGAGAATGGTGGCTCGATATTGTTTGGTGGAGGTATATTTAATACCTGGTGTGAAAACGAAAAACCAACCTAGAGCTCTAAAAAACCAAAAAATCAATTGTTATCCCTTTCATCCTTACTGAAAGACTAAGATTGGTCGATCATGTGTGATACCGATATGCTGAAGAAAGCTAAGTATGAGGTTCTGTGTAGAATCAGAAAGTGTAATAGACCGAAATCTCTTTGCAACCAAGGTGTTGCCATGATACTAATCGGAACGAGTTGGGTGCTGAAAAAGGTGGGGACATGTTCTAGAAGACCCTACTTAAAAATGTGAAGTGCGCGATTGGAAAAGATAAAGAAGAAGATGTCTTTGTGGATGAAGTTTATTTTTTTTTAGAAAAATGTAATATTAAATAAAATATAAGTTTGTAAATAATTTAAGGGAGTAGGCTCTGGTGTAACATGTACAAACTCTAATCATAATGGAGATACAATGCTCTATATTGTCTATTCCTTTCTCAGGTGAATCAGTACAGGGGAGAGAGATAAAGGTGTGGGGGGGGAAGGATTGGAGGACGAAGGAGGTTGAAGTGGAGGGGTCGCTAAAGGTCGGTCCCAGCGATGATTGATGACAGCCCTAATCCACGGCCACGGGGATATTGATTCTCAACAAGTTGCTCAGTCTCATTTCCCATCCGACCGCTTCCATAATGTAATTTTTTCTCGCCCTTTTCCGTCCCTTCACTGTCGCTTTTTCTTATTGGGAAATTTAATTCACCCTTTTCATTCAACATTGACAGCTCTCAATAAAATGTCATCAATAAATGTTCGACATATATGTCCATCCATCTATGGATATGTTTGATTTACGTTAATAAAGAAACAAAAGTTGCTCTGATCAAAGCCGTGGTTATCCTTCGAGCCTTGTAAATATTAAGAAGGAAATTTTCTTGGCATATCGTCAACTATTCCAGTAACACTTGTCTTCATACTCTAGTAGTAATGTAAATTGCATACGGAAAAAATCTAAATAAAAACTGTATTATGTTGTTTTTATGAGTAGAGATCAGAAATCTTTTTTGAGCAAGTTTATTGTTTTTCAACAATAGGGGAAACCTCGTTTAATTTATTTATATAAAAGTAGAACTTTCTCCAAAAAAAAAGTTATCTTAAGAGTCTGCCAAGTAGGAGTAATAAAACTTCTTCACCGCCGTTGCCCGGCAACCGGATATATGATTCTATGATATGAAAATAGTCACGAGTTCGCGTCCCGGTACCAGAGGGGATTTTAAATTCCCCGCCCTCACCCTCTGGTCCGGGAAAATCCCGTATAGCCTAAAAGGCGAGGTCGGGAAGAACAGAAAAAAAAAATATATGTATTATATAATAAAGAACATCCTTTTACGGAGGATTTTGGATTGTAAGGATTGGATGCGGAAAGAATCCGATGTTTTTGTAAAACCCCAAAGCTCAATAGCACATGTCCAAATGGG